AGTGGTTTTGGGTTATAATATTTTTGTCATATAAATGGAGGACTGTTTATTTAAGAAAACAATAGTAGATAGTTTAATATGAATTTCATGCTGAAAAAAAAATAACATGAGATTTTTCATTCACTCTATTGTAATTACTCAACTGAAAAACAGTCGTGGGTATGATGATAAATTACATCTGCATCCTCGGTAAGACAATAAACTATATCCAACAACAAGGTCTTTGATCAAGAGGTTTTGAGGCGCATGGAGCCACCTCTCAATTACTTGTGTTCCCAGGTTCACCCTGACCCAAGGTGGTAGCACCTGTTAGGGTCCCAGTTATGGTCAAATAGTTAACCCCACCCAAAAGAGGTTAAAACACTATGAAAGTATAAAAATAGGTTTTAATACCAGCAATACATTAAAAAAAAATATTACCAACAATACATTTTTGGGAAAACAAATATCCCCAGCAATAAAAATCATGTCTGCATTAAATAACCCATTAATGTTAATAAGCCATAAACCAAGCCAAGCCAAACCAATCAACTGAAAAAAAAATGGTTAACTTTTTTCATCAAATAGTTTTCTGATTCAACAGATCATGGTTTAACTTTCTTGCAATATCTTTGTAATTTAGTAAGTATGTTGCAGGACCCTAACATGTTTATGTAGAAATAAGTCATCATTATGTTGTAGGTATCATCTCTTTGGTTGTGAAATTTATAGATATTTTATATTAAATATTTATGGGCTTCTGGAATATTTATCCTGCAAACAATATTGACAGACTCGATATGAATCCGGGTAAGAATAAGAAGCACAAAAGCATGAATATAAAACAAATGACAATACATGTTATTAACAAAAGGAATTACATGTGTACACAATTATAATGAAAAGAACATTAAAACTAGCTATAAGAATGTGCTTGTGCATGATAGATGTGTGTGTGAGAGAGAGAGTTCAAAAGTCAACAGAGGACCAAAGAAGTGAATGTGCCCTGTTGGTGGTATTCTTTATCTATGTCTATTACATGTGGAAGCAAGAGTTAAAGAGTGAAAATATGATTGCCTTTTTATAGACACCTCCTAACAGGCATTTTGGCAAAGTCAAATAGGATGACACAAGTATTCATTCTAATCTCTGATTTTTAGAATCATTAAAGTTTCCTACCCACACATCCACCTCCACTCCCGCAACAAAAAAAATAAAAGAAATAAAAAAAAATAAATAAAAAATAATACTTTAGACTAGGGATTTAATGAATATTAGATAAAAGGGAAACTGTTCAGCAGATAATCTTTTTTTTTCTTTTAGATAATCCATTTTCTTAAAAATGGATTGTTTTTCAGGCTGTTCAACATTGAGGAATAACAAAGATTCTTAATAGTAACCAATGTGCCAATTCCTTGTTCTCATGACTTCAGTATGTTTTATGACTTGGTAAAGTCTTGAATGTATGAGTGCTTCTTGAACAGAAATTCCTTTCCTTGGTGACCCACTTTATGCTTGTTCTTACTTTCTTAAACTGTCTTTCTAATAATAATCACTAATTTCTCACTCTTAACAGCATTTTAAACTTATAGAATGTACTTTTACATGTACTGGAATTGTATTGATCTGTATCTCGTATTTTCTTCAATAAATGTTATCATTAAACCATAAAATAATGTATCAACTGAATATTTCTTCTTTTTCTTTTCCAGGTGAGTATTTTATTGATTTGAATTTAACAAACTCATTCAAATATCTTGACAAGAAAAGGTAAGAATTTGTTTCTTGAATTAAATCAATTCTGATAAAAAGGAAAGAAATAAAATAAAATGATTGAAAACAACTTAGACTAAAATAAAATTTTTTTAAAAATCTATTTAGCCTGGTGGATTTTTGTGCTGTTCAAAAATACTTATTTTATTTACACCTATCTACCTAAGGACTACAAATTTTTTTTAATGATAATGTTGTCTGCTTTAGTGTTGGATTTTAATGTCTTTAATTTTAACCACTTTAACTGAACACTTAATTCAGCCAACTTTTTAAGTTGTAGTAAATAACTCTTTCCATTCTAACAAGGTACTGATTTTGTTTGTTACAAATGCATAATTAACTTGCTTTAAGGCTTATCAATTACTAAAACAATGATCACCTAACAATTTCATAGCCTTTTCTGTCTGAGATTACATAACCAATGTTTTTTTACAATGTCTTTGCATTTACTCCCCACCCACAAAAAGTATTTCTTGAGTAACACCCTCACAAAGTCACTGAAATTTGATTTTAAAGTACATTTCAAATAAACTGTAACTAGATTTGTCTATCATTGTCAATTTCTTGTGTGGCTGGCAACATTGATATATTTATTCTTTTTTTTTTTTCCCAAGATGCCTCTTTTCAAGATTTTTTTTAATCATTTTGTCCCAAGCAAGGCAGTAAAGCCACTAAGACATGGGGGTTACTGAGTGTGTAAGAATGAAAAAAAAAAAGAAAAAACATTATTAAGAAGTGAAAACCATAAGAGAAATCAAAATGACAGTGGATAATGATTGATATTGCATTTAAATTTTTAAAGATCAAACTTGGCTGGAAAGCAAGAAGCCGGAAGAAAGTTCCATGTGCGAGAGAAAAAACTGTTAGCCTAGAAGTTACGGTTACATCTTGCCAAGTCAGCTGTAAATTGAAGAGATTTTGTTGCCAACCTAGTACTGCTCTTAAATTCATGAAGTATTGTTAACATACAAAAAATTAATATTTATTTTGAAAAATACAAAAATGTGGCCAAGGTCAAAAGTGGGGATGGGGGAAGGCTGGTTTTCAATCTGTCTTATCTGAAACTTAACTAGGCATGATTACTGAACCAAATATACCACAGTATTCTTTATGCCAAAACAACACATTCTTACTACAGCCACCATAATACCTTAAAGTCTCTATATAGTCCTAACTAGTTTCCATATGTAAAATATTTCTGGAGGTGGGAATAAGAATAACATTTAAAAGAAACTCCAATGAATATTTACCATAGAAGAAAGTTCATCAGAACAATTATCATGAAAGTATTTATAAAAAAAGGCACAGGAAAACTGTATTACAGTGATGGGGAAAGTAACTGAAGCTGAGATGCCAGGACAGGACCAATAACATTGCAAATTTTTTTGATTCTATCAAGAATCTATACATAAATAGCAGGAACACCAGACCCTATGTGGCAGGAGTTTTGTTATATAAATGATTGTTTCCATGTTGCATATCTTTTTAGCATTGTTGTCTTTTTCTCTCTTTTTTTTTTTTTTTTTCCACTTCAGTTTATTTGAAGCCAAATATGTATAAATTAAGATGTAACATAATACCTATTTGTATAACATGTGTCTATGGCTTACGGCCACATCACATTTAAACATTGATTCTCATATGATCACCAAAGTTAAGCAACTGGCCAGTACCAAGATAGGTGACCACTTGGGAATACCAGGTGCTGTAAGCTTGTCTGTGCAAGTGGTGTAATGGATAATGGCTCAGAATTGCTAATTGGAGAACAGTTCCAATTCCTGTTGGGGTCATTTTATTTACTTGCACATAAACACCTTTGGGAAATGTACAAATCCACCTCTTCTTCCCCCAGCTATAGGTGAATTAGTAAAATTTGTATCAATAAACCTACAAAAAACTAAAAAGATTCTCACTATCTGAAAAATATTTTTCGACTTTAAATAACCTGCAATGCATTGATAAGCTGTAGAAAATGAATCAATCAATCAGATACTGAGTATCTATACAGGAATGTCTTTTAGATTTATTTATATTCACTGGAATAAACTACTGTAGCCACAAAGTGAGAAATCAGCTTATAAATTGATTGTAATATAGAATCACCCACTTTATATCCACATAAGTTTATGAAATTCTGATTAGGTATGAATCCACTTCTTGTCTCCCAGCTATGAGTTAATTAGTAAGATTTGTATCTCTAAAACATTATCTAAAAAAAATTCTTACAATCTAAAAATATTTTCTGGCTTTAAATAACCTGCAAATGGTTGATGAGCTGTAGGAAATGAATGAATCAATAACTCATGTTCAGCAAAGAAAGACTTACTTCAAAGTATTATGAGATAAGTCTATTTTTCTACACACACACACAAACACACACACACACACAGTAGAATCTATGCCTGAGGATTATTTTCCTAATTTCTATTTTATCTGTCATTTCTTTATATCTGCCTCCTCTCTTTCCTTCCTCATTTCACTCTCTCTCTCTTAATGCTTATGCTCTTTGTTTATTGATTGGCATCACTTTCTGATTGGCTGGTTACACACTGTTTACAGTGAAGAAAAACCTGAGCAGGTTGCTCAAGACTTTTCTCTGATTTTTATTTGATGGTTTCCTCACCATTGCTAATAAAGGACAAGTGTATGCAAGAGAAGAGTTAATATATTTTAAACCTACCTATCAAGCTTGTGTAAATGATTGGCAGAACAAGGGTTTAGAGAGATAGCAAAAATACAAAATTTTCTGAGCTACAAAGGACAGGAAATTGTGGAGAGCCATAATCACCCATATCCTGAAGGGAGACAGCACATATAAGAAAAAAAAATCGTAATTCAGCAAATTTGATATATGACAAGATATATTTTTCTCATATTCAATGAAAGTTAACTTTTTATATATTCATTGTTTGACTTTGTGCTTTGTCATTATTGATTGACTCTTTCTTTCCTCTTGTTTACATCTTCAGTTTGTTGTCAATCACCATGTGCATAACTAGAATCTGTTCATTATTTTGTAAGAAGCTCGTTAGGATAACACACTTGTTTAATGCATGCACATCTACTTTGGAATATTAAGTGTATCACTCTTCATTAATTTTATTGTAGGCATGCAATTAGCTATTGCACAATTAGCAAGTGTAAAAAGTTCATTTTGCAAAGAAAACAAAAATTTGGCCTACTAAAAAAAATAAATTTTAAATGATTGACATTATATGAAATAAAGGACATAAATTATTACTGACTAGAAAAGTCACAGTGAGGAGGAAAAGTTTCCAGGCAGCAGTCAAAAACTTTTTTTTTTCTGTCTTTTTTATCTCTCTTTCCCTCTTTATAATATCTCTCTCTCTTTCCCTCCTTATCATATCTCTCTCTCTCTTTCCCTCCTTATCATATCTCTCTCTCTCTTTCCCTCCTTATCATATCTCTCTCTCTCTTTCCCTCCTTATCATATCTCTCTCTCTCTTTCCCTCCTTATCATATCTCTCTCTCTCTTTCCCTCCTTATCATATCTCTCTCTCTCTTTCCCTCCTTATCACCTCTCTTCCTCTCTCTCTCTCTTTCCCTCCTTATCACCTCTCTTTCCCTCCTTATCACCTCTCTTTCCCTCCTTATCACATCTCTTTCCCTCCTTATCACATCTCTTTCCCTCCTTATCACATCTCTCTCTCTGTCTCTTTCCCTCCTTATCATATCTCTCTCTCTGTCTCTTTCCCTCTTTATCACCTCTTCATCCCCCTCCACTTTTCCTGCCATCAGTAATCCTTGCTCTAACATCTATACCATTTGAATTAGACGAGAATACCTTTACCTAAAATCGATTGTCAAGAGTTAATTCAAAGTGTGTTGGATGAAAATCTTTTAACACAAAATGCCATAAGATTCCCTGTTGATCAAAACACTTTGCTTTTTCTCTCCTCTCTGCAATTCTACCCTTTACTTCTGTCGACTTATTTTTCTAAGCAAAGCCCACATTAGTCAGCTTTGTTGTTCTATTATGATACTGACACTCTTCATCTGGTTTTGTTTTTTCATGGCAAATCTTATGTTGACTGTTGGATCCCCACAACTGAAAAACATCCGGTGATCGGCAGCAGAATGAACAAAAACTTTACATTGTTGGCCAGACCATAGTTTCCATGTTGTACTACCTTCAGGTTTTTCTGACGAGTCCCTGACAATCATTTTATGTCCTTTCTCACATTTTGTTTTTTTTTTTTAAGATTTCATTTTCTTTTCCTTTCTTTCTATTACCGTGTCTGCATTGGGTGCTTTAATTTCTTCATTGTAATCATGCCGGTGCTCAGCTATTGAAGTTCAACGAACACAAAAGTTACAATGTTCAAAAAGTGTGTCCTCAATGAACTGGGTGATTTGGTGAGCTTATGTCCTAGCAAAGCGAAAAAAGTGTCTATTGCTGTCAAGTTGAAGAATGTGACATGTGGCACCTTGACACCATCAAACTCTCTCTCACACACACACACTTACAGACTTGATCACTGTCACTCACTCTCTCGCACACTCGATCACTCACTTGCTCACTCACTCAATCTTACACACTCACTCACACATTTGCTCACTCTCATAAACCTACTCGCTCACTCACTCTCACATGCACACTCAAACATGCTTGCTTGCTCTTGCCCACACAAACACACTCGCTCACACACGCCATCACTTGCTTGCTCCCTCACACACACACTTTCTCACACACATGCTTGTTCTTTCTCTCTCATGTGCGTGCTCACTCATGCACACACATATACACACACTTGCTCTCACATCACTTGTGCTCACTCACACACACTCACACACACGCTCTCATTCACACTCGAGCTTATTTTCTTTCTCTCTCTCTCTCCACTATGCACACACACACACACACACACACACACACACAGAGTTTTTGTGACAAAAATAAGAAAGAAACAAGTCAAAATTCCGTCACTGTTACTGAAGGTTTCACCTTTTGATTTACTTCTTAGTCTCATATGGTCAAATATTGAATAGAATCGTCTACTACCTTAGCTATTCCTCTTTCATAGCAATTCAAACAAGCAGACGATAGTCTATGGGATTTGATATCAAAGAAAAAAAAAGAATCTTTGTTCTTTTCGATTAATAAGATCGACACATAAATTAACTTGCAAATATAATGGCCAAGCAATTTTGTTTTTTTCCTTTTTATCTAGATTTGGTTCTGGTGTTAGGAAGCAATAGAAAAATATTTGAAAAGATATTTAAATAGACTCTTTGTCTATAGCCATATTAATTGTGCATAATTCATTTCAGAGACACTTGTGACTGCTTGAAGCTAGATTCATTTGACTGCTTGTATGATTCAAATTTGTTTGAAGGCCATTGTTGGAATTTTTAAACATTTTCTTTTTTTTGTGTGTGTGCAAAAAATGATTTTGTATTTATCTCTTTCAAGCTCTAAACTATAAAATATTTCACTCATTTGTATGCCTGCAAAGATATTATCCATGCAATATTTTTTTTATTAAAAAAAAAAAAACAAAAAAACGTGCATTTTTTACTTGAACATTGATATATTTTTAAAGTGTTAACACAATTTCTGGATCCATCTTTTTTATTCAAGACAGTATTTTAAAAAGTAAGCAGTTTGAAATTGATGATAAAATTAACCAGGTTTTTGGTAAATATTTATGATGTTTATTTATAGATGATGGCACAAGCTTTCATGTATAATATTGTTTTTCCCCCTCCTTCAAAATTTGTGTGCATCAAAATGCATGGCAAATTATGTAGAAACAAAATATTAGGCTATTTTGTGCAATCTATGGAAATGTAAATATATTGATGTGGATATTGCTAGTGGTCCCTCTGCTGTAGAACTGTGCATTAAAGATGTTAGTGGGTATCTGCTTTGTATATTAAATGACACATAGAGCAGAAAAGTGTACAACCAGAATTGGGGACCTTGGTGGAGCTATGGATAGCGGCTCGAATTGAGGAATTGGAGAGCCAAGTTCAAATTCCAGTCAAATCCATTACATTCATTTACATGCTAATATTCTTGGGAAAGGTAAGAATCCTCTTCTCTCCTTTCCAGCTATGGGTAAATAGCAGAACAGCCTGGGTTCTATAACCCTGGATGGCAACTGGTCTACTGCAGAAAGAAATGGCAACCTACTACGGCAAAGAATCTGCCTCATCAGCCATGTATTGAAAGATATATGATTGCCTAAACATGTATTACATATGGCACATAACTGACTGATTTTTTTTCCCTATTTCTGTGTGATTGTCTTAAATATTAAGAAATCCCCTTTAAGAAAATATATTGCAGAACAAAAGAATTGTTATTTTAGAAGGCACCATTCAGTATCTAAACACTTTGTGACGTGGTATTTGAATGTTTTGGAACTTGCCCTATAAATAAAGTGCACCATATTGAACATAAAATAGGATGTGCTTGGAGTAATTTCACCCAGCAACATAAATTGTAGCAAAATCAAGACAAAAACCTAAAAACTTAAAATAGCTTTGTTAGATCAAGATTTTCATATAGATGTCATGTATACCTGTTTAGAAATATCTGAACGTTCTGCTGTATATTGATTTTCTAAGCTTAGCTTAGATGTGGCACAAGGCCGAAAGTATGGGGCACCCAGTGAAGATTGAACTCGCTATTCAGTCATAAGTGTTTTAGCGAGACAAGCTTGCTAACCATTACACCATGCCGAGGTCCCCTGTTCTGCTGAAAACAACAGCTTTCTCAGATCTAAGGTTTAAAATGGCTTAGAGCGAGTGAAGCCTATGGGTCTTGGCAAAAAAAACACCCTTTTTCAAACAAAGAACTCTACCAGATAAGAAAAACCAAATCACTTGAGGACTTTCAACAGGCGCAACAATTAAAATGGATATCACATGTAACTCTTTACTTCCTTCTCAGCATTAATTAGTTGTATTTACTGGCATTTTGTATTGTTTAACAAATTAATGTCCCAATTTAAATTACAATTTGATCTTTTACAAAAGTAATGTAAATAACAAGAACATTCTTGTAGGGATTAACCTTAATCCAAATTTAAATTTATTGCTTTGATTTTAATCCTCTTAAATTAAATTCAGTCTTCGTGGGAAGAAAGTTGTCATTGAGATTTGATTAGACCCGAATCTCAGTTGCACAACTAAAAAGAAATCATTTATAACCCATTGTACTTGGAGGTGCATACTTGTCATTGGAATATTTTGAAGTTATTAAAATAAAAGGAAAAAATTAACTCACAATGTATCTGGAAATTTTGATACATATATCTGGAGTTGTTTGATTGGGGTACATTTGGTTAAGTAAAAATGTTTAAGGGCATTTTCTTTTTATCACTGAGACACTTGTAAGTTTGACTCAAGTGGGGAAAGATAAATTTAGTACTGAGTACTCTGTATTATCTGTAAAGCTAATGAAGATAAGTCCCTTTATGATAGCTTGTGTTGTTCCTCAAAAGTTTTAGAATATTTCTTATACAGCTGCTATAACTATTTTACATTTTATTTATCTTCCAAACAATGGCTAAATATGATGGAATTAGTAAATTCTTTATGAAAAGGAGATACTTTCTTTTACAGAGGCATTTGAAACAAATTAACATTTTGACAGTATTGCTAAAAGTAAAACTTAAAAAATCACTCAAATATACTTTTCTTGGTTATGGTTTAATTAGCCATTTCCATACAGGAAAAATTTGGCACCTCTACCAGTTCAGGTTGGAATTACCTATTTAAGGAAAGCCCATTTTTTTTTTTGTTGTTGTTGGAAACCTTATAAATTTATATTGACTAGCTTCAGTTTTGTACCCAAAATGTAATGTCCTATAAAAAAATTCCTTAACCTGAAAATGTCTTTTCTTTAAACGCTTTTTCTGGACTTTTCGAGTTCACTGTTATTGCTATTTTTGATATTGACGGGAGTTTCCTTCCAAACCATTTAAGATTGTGTGAAAAGCTAACATCTTGATTATATTATTATTTTCCCTTCTAATTACATGTGCTAACCATTTTCATTTCTTCTGTTGAAACTCTTCAAGTGATATTGTTTTGACATTTTATAAAGCTTTTTATAATTCCGTGGCCTCAGTCTATCAAATTTTAAAAAGGATTGTCTTTTGTAGAGTGAGTGGCTATGGTTAAATGTAAAATGGAAATGATAGCACTGTCCAACAAAAGGAATTGGCAAAGTTTACAATAACAAGAAAAAGTACAGACCAAAAATATATATATATATATATATATATATATCGGCCTGGCAATTGCGTCTACCATGAAACAGCCTGTTGCTTCTGAGTGTTGACTTCAATGTTTACTTTTATATTTATATACACTCTCTCTGATATTGAGCACTTTATCCCATAAATATAGCACACCTTAAAATTATATTTCATCATGTATATATATATATATATATATATATAGCAAGCAACAATATACGCAAGGCAAATTAAAAGTAAAGAAACAGTAATATGATAAAAAGTTCAGTAATTAAGAATTGGGGTTGACATACAAGAATAAATTCGGATAAACGAATATAGCATTCTGATTTCAAGACGAGATAGACTGGGACTGAGTCAGATGAAGCTGAGGAACAGTTTATTTTATAAGCTAAGAAAAAAATCCCAGCATGCATTTGTGTGCTTCTCCTTATAAATTGGGGAGGGAAAAGTGTTTTGCTGTCATTCCTGGGCAGATTGGACCCAACATCTTTTTTTTAATCTGGAGGATTCATTTGCTTAAAGCCATTTTTGATCATTGATTTGAGAAAATGGTTGTATATAGGTGAAGGCTTAGACATTTC